TGAAAAGGCATATGATTCTCTCTCATGTGATTATCTGTTAAAGATAATGCAGATCATGGGGTTTAGTCTATAGTGTGTGGTTGGATTAGGGAGTTATTGAGGCCCGCTAGGGCTCCTGTCTTGGTTAATAGGTCGCTTATCGATGCATTTCAAATTCCCCTTAGCCTGAGACAGGGAGATACTCTATCCCCTTTTATTTTTATTTTGGCGATGTATGGGCTTCATGTAGCTTTTATGAGAGCTCGGATGACCAATGTCTTCAAGGGTATTTCTATTTCAAGGATTAAGATTTCACACCTTATATATGTGGATGATGTCATGCTTGTGTCATATTGGGATCCTGAGAATGTGAATCGTCTTATTCATATTCTTTAGTGTTTTATATGGCTTCGAGTCTCAAAATCAATTTGCATAAAAGCAAATTGATTGGTGTGGGTATCCCTTCCAATTAGGTTTCTTGTATGGATGATAGGATTGGTTGTGTTGTGGCGGATCTTATGTTTATTCATCATGGTGTCCCAGTTGGTCAAACTATCACTTGTGTTTCTATTTTGTCTCATGTGCTTGACCTATTTCAGACCAGACTGGTAGGATTGAAAGCTAAAAGTCTTTATTTTGGAGGTCACATAAACTTAGTGAAGTCCATTTTGGGTTTTTTAGGGAGCTATTTGATGTCAATTTTTCTTGCTCTCATTTTGTTTCTTACCTCCTTAGAGGTCCTAAGGGACAAATTTTTTTGGGATACGGATGTGGACGAGAAACACATGCATTGGGTTAAATGAGATAAAGTTCTAGCTAGTAGAGAGGATTGGGGATTGGGTGTTAGTAGTTTGTTCTCCTTTAATAAGGCTATGCTGTTTCATTAGTGGTGGAGATTTTCCCATTCTCCTAATCTAGTATGGGCTTGTTTAATTAGATCTTTGTATGGCCCTGATGATGGATGTATATCTTTGCCCCTAAGAGAGCTCGAGCGGGCCGTTTTGCAATTATTTGGATGGGAGAGGTTTGGAGTTATGCGTATGTTCACCCAACTAAGGGATATATGTCTTGATATTCATTCCTTATGTCCTATCAGGGTTGGTGATGGGAGCTATACTTTTTTTGGCATGATGTTTGGATGGGAGAGGAGCCTCTTGCAATTATTTTTCATAGAGTGTTAGTTTTGGAGACTTTTAGAGATGCGACTGTCAGAGATTGGATGGCTACGGGTTAGGAGACCCATACTCTTAGACGATATCCTAGAGGAGGTGCAAAGCAGTAGTATTGGGATGGTATCCTTTCTTTGACTAAGGATTTATAGTTGGAGTCGATTCCTAATAGGCTGGGTTGGATTATTGAGGTTTCTGATAACTTCTTTGTAGCGTATGCCCGACGATTCATTGATGGTAGTTTACTTTACTCAGGAGGTGGTGAGACTCGGTGGAACAACTAGGTTCCTATCAAGCTTAATGTTCTTTTATGGAGGATTCGTTTTCTTAGTATTCCCATTTGGTAGTGACTTTCTTATAGGGGAATTTTGTTGGATTCGATTCTTTGCCCTATATGTTATTGTATTGTGGAGACCATTGAGCATTTGTTTTTAAAGTAGTGCTCTGAGTTGTGTGAGATTTGGGTGCATATTGCCATTTGGTGGGGTATACAACTTCTAGATCATATTTAGTTCATTCTTTTATCACGTGGCCAAACTTTGTTTCTATGAGACATCGTTAATGAAAGGCTTTCGATTTAGTGGTTATGACTTGCTTCTGTTTCATTTGGAATTTCTGGAATTCCACTTTTTTGAAACGACTATCCCTAGGAAATCATTTCTTTTTTTGATGTTGCTTATAGGGATTTTTTTGGATTTCTAATAGATGTACAAAAGTCAAGATAAGTTAGAGTTCTTGGCTTCATAACCCTATTTCTACTACAATTTTGATGTGATTGTTTCTTTCTAACTTCTTGCTAGTTTTTAATATATTTCCGTCGTTCAAAAAAAAAAGATGTAGTTATAACATTTCACAATTTAGACCACTTGAAAAAAAATACCAAACATATGTATTAACGACAAACATAAACCTATTTATTTTTATTTAACTGAATAATTACCTTTAATTTTTAGATAATGCTAAATGATTTTTATATTTGTTTAGACAATGCAAATATCATTACTGTACTTTGAATCTCGGAGTTGGAATCTCTAAAGGAAATCGTCGAGTCTTACTCGTTTTCTGATGGGAGTGAATCCTGGAAATCCACGCTTTCGGGTGATGGATCCTTTTATGTGCATGATTTTAGATCCTTAATTGACTCCAAGGTGACTACTCTGATGTGCAACTCGATGAAATGGATTCGGTTGGTGTCGCTTAAGGTCATGGTGTTCGTTTGGTGTGCTTGCATTGACCGGATTCCCCCTGCTGTCGTGCTTTCTCAAAGGGATATTAGTCTCCTTTCCACATGCTATCAATTTTGCGTTTCAGTGATTGATGAGGCTGGCCATTTTTTCGTCGGGTGTCCCTTCGCCAAAGACGTTTTGGTTTGGATCTTCAACTGGTGCAACATACCCTTTCAACAATTCGATTCAGTTGGTGAGCTTATCTTGTATGCGGCATCTTGGGGGAATTGCCCTAAAAACGTAAGATCTTGCTTGCTATTTTTTATGGGTACCTTTGGTGTATTTGGCGGGTTAGAAATGATATAGTCTTTAATAAGACTTTCATTTCCCCTTCTAAGCTAGATGATATAATTATCTCAACGGTGTTTAGTTGGATTAAAAATAGAGGGAGCTTTGAGAATTGAAATTGGGTAAATTGGTGTTGTTACCCTCTAGACATTTTGTAATTTGTTTTTTTTTTTCTTTTCCTGCCTTGTCTTGATAGGCAGTGGTTTTAATTCCGCCGGTTCCAAAAAAAGAAGACAACGATTATAACTTTTGTCTAATACAAACTGGGAGGTAGATAAATTTATTGTGTCTAGAACAAATGAGATCATAAATATAATTGAACTCACATATAAACCTTTAATTAAATTTAATATATTAAATAACTTAAGAAACTTTTTAATCCATTCTAATAAATAGTTTTTTTTTTTTTTTTTTTTTTTTTTTTTTTTTTTTTTTTAACTTGTCACACTCTCATTTAATTTGTCAAATGTTGTGGTTGTTTTAAATTAATTTGTTTTTCCACATGTCATTTTATGATGTTTTTTATTTTATTAAATTTCACATAATATATAATAATTGCAATAAATTTGTAATAAATTGATATTAATTTCACTAATAAACTTACATTTTAATTTCAAAATTCTCAAAATTAAATTTCATTAGTTTCTTTTCTTTATTTAAATTATTTTTTTTAAGTTTAAAATAAAAAATATTTTCATAATAATAAATTATTATTTTTCTTATTCAAAGCTCTCAAATATTTTGACATTTATGTATATATATTTTTTTAAGATTAATTCATATAATACATAGGTCTCACAACTAGTATTTTATTATAGTATTTTAATCCATAGGCATGCAAATAAGATGTGTGATGTAAAAAACATAGACCTTGTGAGATTGTATACTTTTTTCAATGGTATCACAATTCAAAAGACTTAAAGCTTGGATAGCTTCTGCATCATGTGAGCAGCCTCTTAAATTTGGATTCGATGAATATCTGAATGCAGAATTAATTCATTCTCACCGTATTATTGCAGTATTACATCTTTGTCATATGTTAATAACTCATCAAGTAATGTCATTATTATTACTATTCTTAGAGCATAATTTTGTCAAGTTGCTATGAAATTAATGTATCTACGGTCTACATCTAATAGGGTACACATGTTCATTTTTATATAAGCATATCAATTCATGATGCATTTCGTACTGCTTCCTCTTTAAGACCATTTTTTCAAAATATTGTATCGTTCCTTGTTATGTCAATTCAATTGGCAAAAAGTTTATAAGAAAAGCTTTGTCTTGTGTTAACGTATTACGACGCATTGTTTATATAATTTTACATGATTAAATATCATGTCGATTTAAGTGGTTGAGATTTGATCATAATATGATCGGTATTAACTACGGATGTCAAGGCTATGCCGACAAGAAGAAATGACGATGGGATGGAAATTCATTCGGTACCTAAGGGAACATCATCCCTTCACGTTGCCGCGTCTGCTGTCATTCACGGGAGGTAAATTTGTACGGTTGAAGTTTGTACACTTTGCTTTAGACTTAAGGGTATGAATCTTCAATGTTGCTGATGAGCCAACCTGAAATGACTTTAACGACATTGAGGACCTGCCCCCCCCACCCCCCCCCCCAAAAAAAAAAAAAAAGAAAACTTGTTATGACATGGAGGTGTTGCAACTGTAACGTAGCTCAACGGAAGAAACAAGTAATCAAATACCTAATTTAATCAAATACGTAATTTGACCTCTGAATGGTCAAGTTATTTTAAAAAAGATTAATTTATATTTCTTACATATAAATACATATCATACCCAATTTATTCAAACCATTTTTTTTCTCTATATTTTATACAATTTTAATACATTTTCAAAAAATTATAGATCCATTCGACTCGACTGTCAATGATGATGATGTGGTCATCAACATAATGTATGCGTATTATAACAACGAGCTAGTAGAAGCAAATGTTGTTCCTCTACTAACAAGACGAGCAATGCTAAACAACAATAGCGAGTAAGGACATGAACGTCTATATTGCGATTACTTTGCGGATAATTGTGTTTACTAGTCAAAAGATTTCAAAAGAAGTTTTTTTTTTTTTTTTTTTTTTTTGGTATGAATGTGTTTGTACGGATAGCCAATGTCTTGGAAATGATGTATCATTTCTTTCATTTTTATACATATTAAATATATCTTATATAAAATAAATAAATATTTTTACATAATAAATATATGTTTAGGTATCGTTTTTCCAATTAAGATATGATGCTAGAGGTAGATATGGATTCATAAGCTTGCAGAAATGCGTTGGACAATTTGATTGATGGCTTGAAGGGAGTCACCCGGTTCCATTGACGATTATATGAAAATGTCTGAAAGAACTGTAAAAGAAAGTTTGTATAGATTTTCAAAAGGTAATGTTGAAACATTCGGTGACGTTTATTTGCGAAAACCTTCGTTGCATGATATTCAAGAACTATATGTCGCGCATGAAGAACGACATGGTTTTATTGATATGCTTGGAAACATTGATTGGACAAATTAGAAATGAAGTAATTTGTGCCAAGGCATGGAGAGGGAAGTATGCAAGTAGGTTTCATGGAGCGTCTTTGTTGGTATTAGAGATTGTTGCTTTCCAAGATTTATAGATTTGATATGCTTTTTGGGGTTTCGGGTTCCAACAATGACACTAACGTTCTTAATGAATCACCAACAGTTAATGATCTTTTGTCAAGAAAGGCATCAGATGCTCATTTCACAGTGAACGAAAACAAATACAAGTTTGGATATTACCTTCTGGATGAAATATATCCTATTTCTTCGATATTCGTGAAGGAATTTCGACACCCAGTTGAACCAAGAGAAAATTATGTTGGATTAGGTGTCTAAGCCCATAACTATAATTGATATAAACTTGAAATAAAAGTAGCATAGTCTTGTTGAGTTGCCCTCAAACCTAACAATTAGACATGATGATTTTTTGGAGATAGAGGTTAATTTATTATTTGATTAATAAATTGCAATAAATAATTTATTTATATATTATGAGAATAATATATTAATTAGAAATAGTAATATTTAATTAATAATTAATCAGAAAATCATTGGAATTCATTTTGGGATTAATGGAATTAATTAGAAGTGTACGGGTTAAAGTGTAATTGTTTAATAGTTTAACAAGAGGCACTCTAGAATCTTCCTAGAGGCTTGGAAAATTTTTAGGAGGCTTTCAGGGTTCTAGAATTATCGTTGTATGATAAGTAGGAAGCTAGATAATTACAAATACAAGAAAATATTATTATATTGGTTTTCGGCTTATCTAAGGTTTCCAAGTTGCACTATATAAGGAACCTAACCCTTAGCAATTTTGGCCACTCATACATTTCGAGAGCTAGGCTGAAATTATTCCCTCTTCCCTCCTCTCTTCATAATCTCCTTTTTTATTGTGTTGGGTGTGAACCATTAGATGCACGACGCTTGTGATGCTTGCTTCCAAAAGATCAACAAGAGGATATCTAGTTATTTGCTATAACAACTAAAATGTATGTAACCATAATCATTCTCTTTTGTAATTTTGAAATTTACCTAGGGTTTCTAGGGTTGTTGATTTGATGTTCATAGTTATAGGTTCAATAGATAAAACATAGATCTTCTTTTAGGTTGCATGCATACTTAAAAGTTTTAAGTTTGTTTTGTAATGTCTAAAACCCATTAGTAGTATCAGAATATTTGGTTTGTTGTCAATTGAATTTGCTATAAATGTTGAATTTGATTAAGTTAGAGCTTATGGAAATTAAACTCTAAAATGCTTAAATTTTGAAATTAAGGTTACGGGTTTGAAACCCTAACCATGCCCCATAAGTTTCGAAATTAGGGTTAGGGTTTGGAAACCCTAGCCTTCCTGCCCAAGAAAACTTTCGAAAACGGTATTAGTTGGTTAGGGTTTCCTAAATTTTTGGAAATTATTATTTTAATTATTTAAAATGGATAATTGAAATTTTTTTTGGATAAATCCTATACCCTAATGTTTGAAAATTAGAGGGTAAGGATTAGGATTAAATTAATTGATTAATTTAATTAGATAATCCTTGTTTGATTTAATTAAATGTTAATTAATAGATAAACATTAAATCATTTGGCTTATTTTTAAATTTAAGTTAACTGTTTAGTTTTCAAAATTTAATTATAAACCTAGTATTTTGAAAAGTTTTAAAATACAACTTATACTATATGTAAAATTAAAAGTTTAATAATTACTATATGTATACGATTAAATCAGTCGAACCGTTAGTACGCCTCCTTCACGAAACTAGTCTATAAGGGGGGGGGGGGGGATAAGAAATCTGCCTATAAAATGGTAGTTGAATGGGTGTCCACTCTCACCCACCGCTTCCTTGATTGGTGGAGAGTCATTAGCCGAATGGGTTTGATAGGATAATTAATTCTCATTAAAGGTATAATGCTATTAAAAGTAACTAAATCTTTATTATTATTATTATTATTATTATTATTATTATTATTATTATTATTATTATTATTATTATTATTAAAAATACCAATCTTTGTTACTTTAGAAAAATATGAATTTGTATGTTAACCCATGAAATTGCACATTACACTTAATAAGTCGTTACTGGAGCGTGTGTGGTTAACCAACACACTAATAGGGACTAATAACGAGTTGTAATGTGTATCTCATAAATTATCATTGTTGATGGAGCGTGTGTGGTTTACTGACACATCAATTGGGATGATAAATGACAATGAGGTTACCAAGCACATTTGCATGATTATTTACATCTTGTTTGTGATCCTCGGTATCCCAGTCACAAATAAAAAAGCATAATCTGAGATTAAACATGTCGTTGAATAGTTTCAATAAATCTCAAAAGATCTAGGAATTTTATCAAAACTTAATTTCCTTTTAAAATTTCGTTGCTATTGGTAGAATTGGTCAATCATCATTTACCTACCTTTATAACATTTACAATTAGATTAAAACATCCCTTGTCTAAGTT